GAGTCAGAGATCAGAACACAGGAGTGCTTGTCTATGCTCCATACAGCTAAACACAGCTTAGAAAAATAAGGTATTATTACTAATAGAATCATACACAGTGCTGAACCCACATCATCAATCCCAACGTGTTTTAAGTGAGCTTTAAGCCATGCCTAAAATGAGCCTTTTCATCAACTTAGACATTCTTACAAATATCCCCCAGTTAGACAAATTTTGTTAGCACGAGAAATGACTGGTTTTACTTTATTTTTTCCTTGTGATTTTTATCAGATATAAAATCAATGGTACAAGAGTGAAGAGAAGAATAGGCTCTCTGTTTATGAGATGCAGCATGCAATGAAACCTTTGCCTGCTAAACCAAATCCTTTGTATATTACAGTTTCTTTACCACACTCAGTCCATGTGCTGCATGGCCCGCTTGGGAGAAAGCTGTACCTAGTGAATTTGTGAATTTGTGAAATTTAGAAATGTACCATTATTTATTTTTAAAAAGTATGGACACTCTTGCAGTTGATCATTTAAATTCTTATCTAGCCATTTTGGTTTCAAGTAATCAATATCATACTTTAAAAGTTTTAGACCATACCTACCCAAATCTACTATAATGTCGGCTTTAGAGAAAGTAACTTGTTTTTAAATACTTACACGTTTTTAAGGTGCCAAAAAAAAAAGTTGAAAACTGTGAAGTAACCTCTGAAGAAATGAAGTGAAGCATGGAAGGCAAATGGCTGTGGCAGTGAAGAAGTGTAGGTGGTAAGTGATCACATTTCTCATCTACTACAAATTTATCATTAAAGTGAAAGCACCCCCTTCTTTAAAATATTGAAAATGTTGACAGGAGTGACAGTGATACAGTTAACATTCTCCTCTTCATAATATAAGCAGTGCTGTGGCACACTGCTGAAGTCCTTGTCACCTTTCCAGATCCACCTTTGCAAGTGTCTGCTACAACTCATCTGTTTCCTAGGCAGTTATGTACATTATCACAGGACAACTACAAAGAGGTTAAAATATGTTTTGTGTTGTGGAATTTAAATCTTACCATGTTTTGCCGATTTTTCTAAACTTTCATGTACAATTATATATTTGCGTTGAAAGTATTCTGGCTGACGAACAAATACTATACACTTGAATAATCTTAAGGGGTAGATTAATCTATATCCTTTCTTCATCTCAGGGTAGGTTGCTGTGGCAACCACCCCAGCTCACTTTAAAATAATTTTTTAAAGCTCACTTCAAGAGCTACACCCAGCGTGGGCCAGGCTTAAAAGCAGGCAGACCCAGTGCAGAGGGCTCTGATAGAGTGCTGCTTTAATGTAGGAAGCAGAAGAAAAGACAGTGGAGTAAGATGGCACAAACCAGAGACTGGAATGGTAGGATTTTGTAGAGCTGAAACAATTGCCATGCTCTTTGTAACTTTAGTTGTTTAAATGGATTGTTAAATAAATACTTGGACGGGTCACTAATGTGTATTTATATTTAATATAAAGCACTAATAGTAATTAATGAAAGGAATATTAGTGATTGCATGCACACACACATACACACACACACACACACACACACACACACACAGAGGGGGAGGTTAATAGCACACCAATCCCAGACATCACTTCATCCTTTTTTCTTAAAGGAAAGTTGCCTTTTATTAACTAGATAAATCCTTATATTCTAACTGAAATAAAGGATATAATGATTATTTTTATTTTTCAAGCACAGAACTAAATTGGAGAGCTCCTGGAACCTAGCAAAGCTAGGAAGGCTTTATCAATTAATAAGATTTTTGTGTTTATATCAAATCATAAGCAAAGGCCTGGTGCATGCCAGGATGTTAGTCCTCTGCCATTGAGTCACATCCTTGACCACAAATCTTGAAATTGGATAGAGAATTCAAAGACTCTCTATACCTAAACTAAGCTACTTTCTCCGTAACCAGTTTGAGTAAATTTAAGTAAATAAATATTGCATGTCTGGGGTTATTTAAAGGCAAATACAATATACACTTTGGGTCAACCACTTCATGGATTACTACTACTCAAAAATTTTAAAGCTCAGGTAGCTGTCTACTGTTCATGTCCATGTAAGTACTTCCCTTCCACTTCAGCTAAACAGGCTTATGTGAAGGAAACAAATCCTAATATTAACTTAGGTCACACATAATTAAATCTTCTGAGGGTGTAAATCTTATATTTTAAACAGGCCAACTCTAATATATTCCAGACCCAATGTTTCAAATGATCCTCACTTTGTCTTAGCATACTTTTGAATATTTACACTATTGTTGGTAAATATGAATTTGTTACAATGTTTATTACTAAATAACTCTTTGACATGTGGAACGGTACAGTAAGTTTCCTTTTGAAGGAAAATAATTCTAAAACTGAAGTATATTGTGTGGTAAATAGAAATACCATCTATAATTAACTACAATAGCATGATTAAAGTTCATATACTGGCTGTATCTACTTTGTCATATAACATAGGCCATTACAGTTTATTAATTTAAAGCACTTCATCAGTAAATTCTCCTGGTCCTTCATATGGTTTGCTAAATGAGAATCTTTGTAAACCTCAAAAATAATCCGCATTTTCATTTATGTCACCATATCTAGATGTGCCTTAGTGTTCAGCATCTCTAAGTATCAAAGGGTGTACCTGTAAAAAGGCTTTTGCCATACTGTTTACATAAACTCATGGTAGTCACCCACTTGCTATAATGAAAGGCAAACACAGTATAGTATAGATACTAATTAGCAAAAACAGAAGAAACAAACAAACAAGAACCCACAGTTTGTCATCTTTCCTGTAATAAAAGTAGCTCTACTAATTAATCCTCACAATGCTAAGGGGCCAGACACTTGAAGATTGTTCAGATGTAGTTTAACTTGCCTATAAAGTCAGCTCCTGCTTTCAAGTGAAGCCTCTGGTGGGTGCCTAAATGTTGAGGCCCACTCTTCTAGAAAAGCTACTAACTTCAAACAGCCTGCACAAAGAGACAGGAGGCTTTTTTGAACCACATTGTCCCCTGCATTAAAATAGTCCTCTGCAGGCCTCTTGAAGAACTTACCAGGAAATGCAACCAGTCATTGGGTTAAACATATGGTGCTGAAAGGAGGGCTTTGGGTTTGGGGGGGGTTGTTGTTGTTTTTTGGGGGGATACCATTAGTTAGCTAGATATTTCACTGTGCTACTGTGGTCTACTCTTGTACCTTCTGTGAGCTTTCTCTTCCTCCAGTCATAATATTAAAACATTGGTTTTGAATGTTTTAAAAATCTACAGTACCCCTGGCCTGCAATCTTGTCTTTTTTGTTTGTTTGCGTGTGTGTGCGTACGTGCCTGTGTTCGTGTGTGTGTGTGTGTGTGTGTGTGTGTGTGTGTGTGATATTTGTGTACCAGTTGATTTAATTTATCTTGAGCCTTTTGGGTGTGGTATAATGGACTGGGTAGGGACGGACCCAATACCTGCAACCTTCTTCCCTAAGTACCAATTGTTTGTTAACCTGTTTTTGCTGTGGAAAAGCATTCAGCAGACTTAAACCTTAACATAAGTATCCTTATCGGTCTCTGTTGCTGCTTCCTGTGCAGCTGAAACTCTTCAGATAGTGAAGTCATCCCTATCAGCCAGGGTAGCCTAATGCATTTGGGAAGTTGGTTTGGTTTACATGCTAATGACCTGGATAAGGTCCAGTAAGGTGTGGAGGAGACGCTGGAGGGAAAGAGGGGGAGATTCTCCGAGGAAGCTGTCCCCTTGGTAAATATTTCCATATTGCTTCGAAAGTTCATGGCCCCGCGATAAAGTCGAGATTTCAAATACTTGTAATTGTTTTATTACTAACATCGGAGAATCCTTTTCGGCCCACTTTCTAGCCTTGCTCTTGCTCTCCCGGTCTCAAGGCCAAAAGCTTTGTACTTTCTGGGCGGGCAGGAAGCGCACGCTGGGATCGAGGCTTGCAGACATCCTGGATCGTGGCTTTTACGCGTGAGTAGCAGAGGCGCGCGCGGACCAGAGCAAGA